CCACTGGTGGTTAGGACAATGCAAAGGAAAACGAGAAGATACTTTTTTTCAAGAGCCATCAAGTTGGCAAAAAATCAAACCGCTTCTTAGCATCGCCGTAGGCGAGGGTGTGGGGGAAGAAGAATGTGTGTGCGTTGTTGGTGTGCGTGTAAAAGGGTGCAACATTTTTGGAGGGCGATTTGCAGTTCCAGTTATTATTTTAGATACATACACCTATAAAGAAATATAGGGAAAATTTTTATGGAAACAGAGCACGCATATAGAAAAAGCCACAGATCATAAGTGTGTGGCGCAGACATGGAACACGTCCATGTAACATTTTGCCTAGATCAAGGAAGAGAGAATTATAAGTGCCCAGAAGACCCGTGCTCTTTCCTACTCAGTAAATTCCCCAGGTAACCACTATCCTGACTGCTAGCAAGATCTTCCTGTTGTTGAACATTCTATGAATGGAATTATATAGTATATATTCTTTTGTGTCTGGCTCCTTTCACCAAGTATTATATTTTTAAGCTTCATCTATATTGCTCCGTGAAGCAGAACATTCATTTTTGTTGCTGTATAGAATTCCATGGCACGACCAGACCATGCTTGATTGTTCTGTTGTACTGCTGAAGAACATTTGGGTGGCTTCCAGTTTGGAGCTATTGTAAATAGTACTGTTATGAACATTCTTGTATGTGACTTTGGGTGCACATAGAAACACATTGCTGTCGGGTATCTCCCTCTTGACAACACTTTCCATCTGGAATCTATCTTACAGAAACCCCAGAGAGAATAAGCTTGAATGTCCAAGGGTGTTTATTGTAACACTAAAAAATGGTGGGGTCAAGGGGCGCCTGGGTGGCTCAGTCGTGAAGCGTCCGACTCTTGGTTTTGGCTCATATCATGATCTCAGGGTGGTGGGATCGAGCTCTGAGTCAGGCTCCATACTCAACGCAGAGTCAGCTTGAGAATCTCTAACCTCACCCTCTGCCCCTCCCCCCACTCTTTCCCTCTCCCTCTCCCTCTCTCCCTCTCCCTCTCTCTAAAATAAATGAATAGGGCGCCTGGGTGGCTCAGTTGGTTAAGCGACTGCCTTCGGCTCAGGTCATGATCCTGGAGTCCCGGGATCGAGTCCCGCATCGGGCTCCCTGCTCAGCGGGGAGTCTGCTTCTCCCTCTGACCCTCTTCCCTCTCGTGCTCTCTATCTCTCATTCTCTCTCTCTCAAATAAATAAATAAAATCTTAAAAAAAAATTTAAAATAAATGAATAGGGGCACGTGGGTGGCTCAGTCGGTTAAGCATCTGCCTTCGGCTCAGGTCATGATCCCGGGGTCCTGGAATCGAGTCCCACTTTGGGCTCCCCGCTCTGCGGGAAGCCTGCTTCTCCCTCTCCCACTCCCCCCTGCTTGTACTCTCTCTCTTTCTCTCTCTCAAAATAAATAAATAAAATCTTTTAAAAAAATAAGTGAATAAATAAAATCTTTTAAAAAATAGTGGAGACAACCTCTGTGTTTACTAATAATGATATGGTTAAAAACATATTATCTAGGGGCACCTGGGTGGCTCAGTCGGTTAACTGTCTAACTCTCGATCTCAGCTCAGGTCTTGATCTTGGGGTTGTAAGTTCAAGGCCCGCATTGCACTCCACACTGGGTGTGGAGCCTACTTAAAAAAATATATATATGTATATATATATGTATGTATATGTAATCGAATGCTTAATCCTGACTTGGAATAGTATGCAGCCGGTAAAAAAAGGAGAATGAGACACGTGGACTCTGATATGTAAGGTTGCCCATATACTGTCAAGTGAAAAAAAAAGCATCCTGTAAAAATATACATATATAGATACTAAAATATAGAGAGATAGATATGGTGTGATACCACTTTTTAAACAAACAAAAGGTAAAACAGAGCTTTATATGTGGAGATTTGTGGGCATTAAATATCTAAAAAGACTTTTCACATATGAGCTAGGGAAGGGAGTACAACGGGATGCGGAGGATGTGATTTGACATGTACCTACTTGTCTCCATCTTCATTGCCACTGTCCTATACGAAGCCACCATGACCTTTGGTATTGAAAACACAACGGTCCTTTTTTTTCCCTTAAGATTTTTTTTTAAAGATTTTATTTATTTATTTGACAGAGAGAGACACAGCGAGAGAGGGAACACAAGCAGGGGGAGTGGGAGAGGGAGAAGCAGGCTTCCCGCAGAGCAGGGAGCCCGATGCGGGGCTCGATCCCAGGACCCCGGGATCATGACCTGAGCCGAAGGCAGACGCTTAACCGACTGAGCCACCCAGGTGCCCCTATATATTTTATTTTTTAGAGAGAAAGAGCACAAGCTGGGGGTGGGGCAGAGAGAGAATCCCAAGCCGACTCAGCGCTGATCGCAGAACCCAAAGTGGGGCTCAATCCCACCACCCAGAGATCATGACCTGAGCCGAAATCAAGAGTCTGATGCTTAACCGACTGAGCCACCCAGGCGGCCCACACAAAACGGTCCTCTTACGGGTTCACCTGTCAAGTCATCTCTGCCAGAGGTCTGTGGAGGTCTGTGGAGAACGGCTCTGGTGGCCGTCTTCCATTCGCCTCCCATCCCACAGAATGGGGGGCTTAAACAACAGAAATGTGATATCTCCCAGTTCCAGAGCTAGATGCCCCAGGTCAAGGGGCCAGCCAGGTTGGCTCCGTCCAAGGGCCGCGAGGGGACATCTGTTCCAGGCCTCCCTCCTCGGTTTGTAGATGGCCGTCTTCCCCCTCGGGTGTGTTCAGGTCCTCTTCTCTCTGGGTGTGGTGGCAGTGTCCTAATCTCCTCTTCTTACAAGGACACGGGTCAGATCAGATGAGGGCCCACCCATAGGATTGGAGTTCAGTGTAATCAGCTCCTTACAGGCTCTGCGTCCAAATACAGTCACATTCTGAGGGACTGGAGGTTAGGGCCCCAACATATGAATTGCAGGAGGAGGGGTACCTAATTCAGCCAGAACTCCTCCTTTTCTCCCCTGGGAGGCTTGCAGGAGAAATTCCTGGGTTCTGATGAGGTTGAGACCTTCCTACGCCCTGCCACAGGACAGGGCCACGGACCACAAAAACCGCCTCGCTGTGTACCGCCGGCCTGGAATGAGACCGTGCAGGCCCATTTATTTCAGTGGCATCCTTTCTGGTGTGGGACGACCCCCCCAGGGAGCCGGCACTTTCGGCTCATCCTCCTTTCACTGTTTTTATAAGAAAGTGTCCAAATCTATTTTTTTAAAGATTTTATTTATTTATTTGAGAGAGAGAGAGTGAGAGAGAGCACACATGAGAGGGAGGAGGGTCAGAGGGCGAAGCAGACTCCCTGCCGAGCAGGGAGCCCGATGTGGGACTCGATCCCGGGACTCCAGGATCATGACCTGAGCTGAAGGCAGTCGCTTAACCAACTGAGCCACCCAGGCGCCCCGAAAGTGTCTAAATCTAAAAGTGACTCACTGCATATTTACCAGCCAAATTAGCCCAGCCTTGGCCTTGGCTTTCCTGGAAAGTCTTCTTGTGTGCTTGACAACAGACACTGGAATGTGTTGCGAAAACAGAAACACAAATCTTGCTAACAGAGGTGGGGGAAAGGGGACATGAAAGATGGCTCCCAATTCTGTGCTCCTCTCCTCCCCCGCATCCAGCACCCAGCCTCTAGGTCCCCTAAATTTTAACTTGTTTGATGTTTACAAAATAGGGGCGTCTGGCTGGCTCAAGTCAGAGGAGCATGCGAAGCTTGATCTCTGGGTTGTGTGTTTGAGCCCCACACTGGGTATAGAGATTCCTAAAAAATAAATAAACTTGGGGCACCCGGGTGGCTCAGTCGTTAAGTGCCTGCCTTCGGCTCAGGTCATGATCCCGGGGTCCTGGGATCGAGCCCCACATCGGGCTCCCTGCTCCGCGGGAAGCCTGCTTCTCCCTCTCCCGCTCCCCCTGCTTGTGTTCCCTCTCTCGCTGCCTCTCTCTGTCAAATAAATAAAATCTTTAAAAAATAAATAAATAAATAAACTTAAAAAACATTAAGATAAAATAAATGAATTAACGAAAGGTAAAACACAATTCTATGTGTCTACCAGTGGGCATTTAAATATTTAGAAAAACTTTTTACCTATGAAGTGATAGTACTAATAATCATTGAGGAAGGAGGACGAGGTACATGGAAGGGATCTCAACATTTTATACATGTATTAGACAACCGGCCCCAGAGAGCCAGTGAACTGCCAAAGATGGGCAGGCTGGGCCTTTTGATGCCCAAAGCTGAGTCCACCCCCAGTGAGCATCCCATGCAGGAATCATGACTCTCCCCTGCTTCCCCACCAAATAAGTTTAGCTAAAGAAATCAAAACCACAACGAGAAACCACTTCACATCCATTAGGATGACCACTATTAAAAACAAATAAGCAAACCAACAGAAAATACAAAGTGTTGACAAGGATGGGGAGAAATCAGAACCCTGGCACCCCGCCGGTGGGAACATGAAATGGGGCAGCCATGCTGGAGAACAACAAGTCACTCACGAAAGGACAAATACTGCACGACCCCACTTAGATGAGGTCCCTAGAGCAGTCGCATTAAGAGAGATGGAAAGTGGGATGGCAGTTGCCGGGGCCAGGGGCATTGGGGAGAATGGGAAGTTAGTATCTAAGGGGTACCGAGTTTCTGTTTGGCAAGATGAAAAATTTCTAGAGATGGATGGTGGTGATATACTTAATACCACTGTACTGTACACATAAAAACACTTAAGATGGGGCGCCCAGGTGGTGTAGTCGGTCAGGAGTCTGACTCTTGATTTCAGCTCAGGTCATGATCTCAGGGTCATGAGATCGAGCCCCACGTCAGGCTCCAAGCTCAGCGGGGAGCCTGCTTGAGATTCTCTCTCCCTCTCTCACTGCCCCTCCCCCCTAAAATAAATAAATAAATCGTTTTAAAAAATGCTTATGATGGTCAACTTTATGTTATGAGTATCTTACTATATTAAAAAGTGGTAGAGCGCTCACTTTGGCAGCACATATGGTAACTGGTAACATCAGTCTGATACAGAGAAGATCAGTGCGGCCCATGCACAACGATGACATGCAAATTCAGGAAGCGTTCTGTGCTTTTTTTTAAGGCAGAAAAGATATGAAGACTGGAATAAAAATGTCCTAGTATCCTACAACCTATCTCGCCACAAAAAAAGTATAAAAAAATGATCTCTTCTAAAATAAACTTTATACTACACACACACACACACACACACACACACACACACACACACACACGGAGTTTAGCTAAAGATTTGAGAGGCTTTGCTGCCTGGAGCTAGAACTTAATAAAGACACCAGCTCCCTGGCATCAGTTGCTCACCTGTTGAGAGAGGGAATGAGCTCATCCACCTTCGAGCTAGTTGCCAAACGCCCCGTGCGGGGACAGTCTCCCACCTGAGAAACGGACACACTGTGTGCACGTCATTTCCCTTTTCTCTCTTCTCTGTGCACAGCCTGTGAGAGAGGCACAGGGTCAAAAGCTGAGACACACGGAGCCTTCCTGAATCTGCTCTCTATTCTGTCTGTCTTGCCCTGCCCTTGTCCCACTGAACTTCCTCTGCAGAACCTTCTCACCATAGCTGCAGCAGCAGTCACTCATTCCATGTTGTGTCTTTCAGCCCGTCTGACTTACTGCTTAATTATTAGCTGACTCTGTATGGCTGTGTGTGTCTTATCTCCCCAGCTGGACTAGAAGTTCCTCGAAGGTAGACACTGACTCTTTGCCCCTCTTGGATCTCTTTAGCGCTTGCATCAACGTCTAGGGTATAGTAAGGGGCAGGAACATCCAGACAATGGAACACCATTCCACGCTAAGAAGAAATGCGCTATCAAGCCATGAAAAGACATGGAGGAGCCTTCAATGCATGTTACTAAGTGAAAGAAGCCAATCTGAAAAGGCCACAAACTGTGAGTCCAACTACATGACCCGTTCTGGAAAAGACAAAACTCTGGAGACAGGAAAAAGATCGATGGTTGCCAGGGGTTCAGGGGGCCCCAGAGAGAGAGGGAGGGACAAATAAATGGGACACAGAGGATGTTTAGGGCAGTGAAACTACTCTGTGTGACACTATAATGGTGGATATATGACATTATACATGTATCAAAAGCCAGAGTAAAACACAAAGCGTGAACCCTAATGGAAACTATGGAGATTGGTTAATAATAACATACCAATATTGAACCAGTCTTCTAATGGGGGGAACTGGGGTATATGGGAACTCAGTGCTGTCTGCCCAGTTTTCCCATAAACCACATCCACATCCTTCCTCGGTGATGAGGGAGCTGGAAAGGTTTATCCAGGCCTGACATTTTTTTTAATTGAGGTATAATAGACATATAACCTTATATTAGTTTCAGGTGCTCAACATAAGGATTCGATCTTTGTATACACTGTGAAATGCTCACCGCAAAAAGTCTAGCTTCACCCCCCCCCGCCGCCATATAAAGTTACCTAATACGCAATCCGATGTTGTTGACCATAGTTGCCATGCTGTATGTTACAACCCCATGACTTATTTATTTTATGGCTGGAAGTTTGTACCTCTTGACCCCCTTCTCCCATTTCACCCACCCCAGCCCCCCTCCCCTCCCGCAACCACCAATCTGTTCTCCACATCTGTGAGTTTTGTTTGCTCATTTGTTTTGTTTTTTAGATTCCACATATAAGTGAAATCATATGGTATTTGTCTTTCTCTGTCTGACTTATTTCACTTGGCATTCTACCCTCTGGGTCTGTGTTGTCGCAAATGGCAAGATATCATTCTTTTTTTATGACTGAGCTGTATTTCATTGTATATATACATACCATATCTTTTTTATCCGTTCATCCGTCAATGAATTGGTTGCGTCCATATCTTGGCTATTGTAAATAATGAACATAAGGGTGCATATATCTTTTCAAATTAGTGTTTTCATTTTCTTTGGGTAAATACCTAGAAGTGGAATTACCGGATTGTTCTAGTTTTAGTTTTTTGAGGAACCTCCATACTGTTTTCCACAGCGGCTGCACCAATTTGCATTCCCACCAAGAGTGCGTGAAAGTTCCCTTTTCTGCACGTCCTTGCCAATACTTGTTATTTCTTGTCTTTTTGATACTAGACACTCTGGCAGGTGTGAAATGATATCTCATTGTGGTTTTGATTTGCATTTCCCAATGATGAGTGATGTTGAGCACTTTTTCATATGTGTGTTGGCCATTTGTATGTCTTCTTTGGAAAAATATCTATTCAGGTCCTCTGCCCATTTTTTAATTGGACTGTTGGGTTTTTGCTCTTGAGTTGTATGAGTTCTTTGTATATTTTGGATATTAATACCTTATTGGATATATGATTTACAAATATTTTCTCCCATTCCGTAGGTTGCCTTTTGATGGTGTGGAAGCTTTTCAGTTTGATGTTGTCCCACTGTGTTGCCCTTGCCCCTGGAGTCAGATCCAAAAAATATCGCTGAGAGCAATGTCAAGGAGTTTACCGCCTGTGTTTTCTTTCAGGAATTTTATGGTTTCCAATCTTATTTTCAAGTCCTTAGTCCATTTTTTGAGTTGACTCTTGTGTATGGCGTAATATAGTGGTCCAGTCTCATTCTCTTGCATGTGGCTGTCCAGCTTTCCCACCACTATTTATTGAAGAGACTGTCCTTTCCCCATTGTATAGTCTTGCCTCCTTTGTCATAAATTAATTAACCATATGTGCATGGGTTTATTTCTGGGCTCTCCATTCTGTTCCACTGATCTATGTGTCTGTTTTTATGCCAGTACCATACTGTTTTGATTACTATGGCTCTGGAGTATAGTTTAAAAGCAGGGTCCATAATGCCTCCAGTTTTGTCCTTCTTTCTCAAATTGCTTTGGCTATTCAGGGTCTTTTGTGGTGCCATACAAATTTTAAGAGGGATTGTTCTATTTCTGTAAAAAGTGCCACTAGAATTTTGATAGGGATTATGTTGAATCTATAGATTGCTTTGGGCACAGACCTGATATTTTTCAAAATGCAGTGAAACATAGTTGGGAGTAAATTAAAGTTTCTCCTCAAAGCCAAAGAAGAAAAACTGGAAGAGGAGTAAGCATCTATTTGTGAGCTAAAATTTGCACAGAAAGTTGTGTTTCTTTACATGTTGCCCTAATTAGTGTAACATATTTTGTATTGAAATCACAAATAATTTTCACAGAGAATCAAACAATCCTTAATTATATCTGAAGTCCCCTTTCAAGGCCTTCACAAGCCTTGACCTCCAAAGGGAAGGAACAGGCCACATATGATTTCATTCATAGAACTAAGAAAAGGAGTTAAAAGCCAAATGTCCGGGGCGCCTGGCTTGGCTCAGTCAGTAGAGCCGGAGACTCCTGATCTCGGGGCTGTGAGTTAAAACCCCACCCTGAGCATGGAGCCTATTTAAAAAAAAAAAAAAAAAAAGTCCAACATTCCAGCAGTATTACTTGCATACCCAACGGTTTCTGGAAAGACCGTTTTCAGGGAAGTGCACTGCAGAAAGAAACACAAAAGCTCGGATGTCAATAGGTATTTGTCAAGAAAGTGTTCAGCAAACAGGCGGTGGGCAAGACAACCGTTCCTGGTGGCCTTCTCCTTCTATAACAGAGCAGGGCAGGCCTACCTCGGTGGCCCATGTGAATTTCCACTACCTTCCTGCCCCTCCAAACCCACAGCGTAACACATACACAGGTCGCAAACTCTTCTGTATGTCCAAGTGTCCAGCCTCCTCTCTATTAAGCTCACTGCACCGGTACCGAGCGGCACTAACTAACATTGTTTTGTAGGCATTCGGGGCTCCTGACCTCAGGGTGCAAATATGCAGGAAGGAGAGGCAAATCAGTGCCTCCAGCCTGTGGTCCTGGCGTGGGTTTGGAGTGGGACCTTCCCACAGTCCCTGGCTCCCAGGTGACTGCGTTTCTCAGCTTCACACAGCCCCACGGCTCCCTCCCTCCCTTTATCATTCTTTCACCCCCATGCCAGCTTCTGATGAGAGGCTAGAAAACAGGCCCGGGGGGGGGGAGCTAATTACTTAAGTGGGGGACAGAGAGGACACACGATGGCTTGGTAACGGTCTCTGAGCATTGTGAGGCTTGTTACCGCAGGCCGTGGTGACCAGCAGTGTCTCGGGTCAGGTTCCCCGGAAGCAGAGCTCCAGACACAGATTCCTGTGCAAGTGAATTATTGAGGGAGGGCTCTCGGGAGAAAAAGGTAGAGACAGGAGGGAAGCAGTGGAGGGCAGGAGAAGAAGCGAAGCGAAGATGGAGATTTAGCCTCAGCCTGACTCCCTGGCTGAAGGGGGTGGGGATTACAGAGTCATTCCTTCCCATACATGACACAGGGGGCCAGGCCTTTATACCCCCCGTGTCCGTTAGTCACTGACTGCAGGCCACCCTCACTGGGGGCACGGGGGCACATAAGTCCCAAGTCCTCAGCTCTGGGCAAGGCTGTCCTGCAGGCAGAGACCAGTTCTCGAGAACACTGAAACGGCGAGCCGCTGAGCTGGGGATGAGCACCGTGGTCAGCGCGGGGAATCTGGCTGGACACCACATCATCCACAAACGACAGTGAGAGAGAAGAAGGATAGACTCCAGGAAAAGCCTCTTGAGGAGGATGGACGCTCTGGAGCTCCTTGCAGCCACCCGTCACTAGAACCAATGGACAGGGAATGGCCTTCACCCAGCTGGATCTTTCTAGGCAGACCCAAAGCAGGATGTTGGGGCAGATGCCTTCAGGAAAGACCCAAGCTAAGAACCACAGTGTGTGCGGTCAGCTGCTGCTTTTTTGTCTTTAATAATTTTTTTTTCAAATATTCTGTTCATTCATTCGAGAGAGAGCACGAACAGGGGGAAGGGGCAGCGGGAGAGGGAGCAGCAGATTCCCGCATTTTACAGATAAGGAGACTGTGGCCAAGAGAGGCTAATTTGCCCAAGCGAACAGTTGGAAGTAGTAGAGGCCGGATTTGAACCCAGGTATCCTGACTCATGAGGGCTACACCACCGCTCTGCTGCCCCTGGTTGTCTCTCTAGCTGGGGTAGACGGGTGCTAGACAGCAGGAGACCAACCTGGGTGCCATCAGATGAGCAAGTTT